TGCCCGGCGCCTGCGGACAGGACGGCTCAGCCACACAGCCTGGGGACAGGGAGGGCATGGGGGGCTGGCCCGGGCCCCCCAGTGCCCGGTGCCCGCTGACCACGCAGGAGCCCGTCTCATAAGGGTACAATTTGCCTGGGATTGCACCCAGCGCAGAACCGGTTTCATCGTATCTCCACATAATTGCTCCAAGAATTTCATTACCTGTGTTTCTGGCTGGGCCTCTCAGACTCAGTCCCTGAGAATTTCTCTCTCCAACCAGCTCTCGCTCGCTCTCCGATCTGCTCGCTCTTGGGCTCCAACTAAAGCCCTGTGGGGCCTGGTAGGAGCCAGGCGGAGCCCAGGAGGCCTCTTCCCAGTGTCTCTTGACTGATGTTAAACAGTTTACACCCATTTAGCTGTAGCTTTCCAGCCAAGAGCGAGAGTTACAGGTTCCTGGGAGGAGCTGGTGTCTAGAACAATTTCCTTTCCAGTCTTGCAAAGGGAAATAGACTCCAGTCTGAGCTGCCAACCCCGAGTAGTTTTTTTTTATTTTGCAGGGAGTGTCATGTCTCTGCACCCGGGAATAGCTTCCACTTCATTTTTTATTTTTTGGTACAAAGCAGTGGTCCCTCCCGCGCCCTTTTTTTTTTTTTGTTAAAAAAATTAACTCGAAAGGGTCAACTCAAGTATAGCTACTTATTTTCAAAGAGAGAACCGTCAAGTTAAAGATCATTTCTATTCCTTCTAGAAGCAGAGTAACTTTGGGTTTATTTCCAATAGTGACTCGCTGGGTGTTTTAAGAGGAATATTATTAGGGACCCTTTAGAGTTTTTAAAATAACACATCCTGAAAGTGAAAAGCGCCGTCATGTAAGATTGGGAACGAGCTCAAGTCTCTGAAGATACACACGGAGAGCCCACCCTCCCCAGGAGCAGCGCACACAGGCCATCTTGTTAGACTGGTGCCCGGGAAACTCTAAGGGCACATCAGGGGCTGACACAAGCGGGTGGCCCGTTTAGAGAAAGGAGCATGTGGGACCCAGGGTGGGCTGGCAGAGCCTCCCATCCTCACACCCCGAAGTCCCAGACCTACGGCAACGAGACCCGAGTCCAGGTCGACCATTCCTGCCTCACAGCGCACATTTGGGGAAATGGCATTTACCTGAAGTTTTATTAGAAGAAATTCTCACCCTGAATTGATGACTCATCTAAGATACAAGTTTAAAAAAAATCGTCCCCCCCCATTGCCACCAAATACATAAAATGGGACGGTTTTCTGTAGTGACCTGGGCCAAGTGTAAGCCGCCTCATTTTACATCAGCAGCATGAGACGTGCCGTCGGCAATCTCAGGGAATGGTGGTCTCTCTAGAAAATGCCACTCCCGCTTCTAAAGAGGGAAAACCTTCCGAATTCCTCGTTTTTGTTAGCAGGTGAGTTCCTGTGGTGTCTGTAGCCTAAGGAAAAGCTGAATCTTGGAGTACAATGTGCACTCACACACAAATGCACACACACGTGTGCACACATGCACACTGCGGGTCCACATACATGCACACTGCACATGTGCGTCAACACACTGCACATACACGTGCACACATACACATGCACACGTGTGCTCATGCACGCGCACACGCATGCATACACACACACATGCATATACACACACATGCAGGCTACATGTCCTTTCTGACCTCAGGGAAGCGACACCTGGTTCCCAAGCCTGTGGACAGACACGAGGCTCGAGGGGCGGTTCCTGTGCCTGGCTGTCCCTGGAGAGGAGCGAGGCGCGGGGGGAGGGCGAGTCGTGGCTGAGCGCACCTGAGCTCCCGCCGGATCAATGGCCAGGACCAGCGGGGCTCCGGGGAACGAAGCCAGGCCGGGGACGGCGCCCGGCGGCCTGCAGTGGGCAGTGCTGGCGCCAACGCGGAGGCGGCCGAACCTGCTGGAAGGAAAATAATTGCTCCGTTTTGAGGTACAAAGATACTAACCTGACTTTTGTGAACATAAGAGCCGGCTCTGCAGCCTCACCTGGAAGAGAGCCTCAGACGCAGAGCAGTCNNGGCCTGTGCTCCGCCGTCGGGCTCGCGGGGTGCCTGCCGGCCACACTGCCCGGCCTCCAGGCGAGGGGCTCAGCCCCCCCGAAGCGGCCCCAGCTCGAGACAACAGTTGTTCCCACGTGTGCTCTTCTGTGACAAAGTGTTTTGACAAATCCACAGAAGCAGGAAAAAAAACCCCAACTGACGTGATTACACCAAATGGACCCCGTTACCGCCTCATTATTACGGGGAATTCATCTGTGGGCTACATTTTAAACTTCTTATAATTTGAGGGACCTTTTCCTGCTCAAAGGCAGAAGGATGCGCTGCAGAGAGAGGGACGCGTGAGGACGAGCCTCAGTTTACTCCTCGGGCGGTCAGGCGGAGCTCCGCGGCCACCCTGGGCAGGGCCCCCTTGGGCGTCCCAAACCCGCCGAGCGACGCACGTGAGTGGGGGCTGTGTCCGTAAGCGGGATGTCAAGTGAAACAAATAACGGTAGACTTCGGGGAAAAACATCGCAGATCCATAAAAAGTTTATTGTGCTTGTTTTTTATTTTTATATTTTATTTATATTAGGATATTATACAATTTTCCAAGCTAACATCAGAGTTTTCCTAGCATGTGTATCGGAAGCTTAACAAAATAAAAGTATCTCACAAAAGAAGTCCATGGTACAGTACTAGTGAAAGACGAGGCACAGGGTAATTACGCACTTGCGGGTTATACACGTAATACATTCATTGTAAAGGGAAAAACATTTAATATGGATAACATTTTGGCTAAAATAAATATCAGGTAAATGGTAACAGCAACGCCTGAAGTATATTGAAACAGGACCCTATGCCGAAGAGAAGGCGTTCGGGGAACGGCGGTGACGTCTCACCACACTTACCACCCCTGCGCGCGGCTGACTCTGCGCTGACCCAGGGACGCCCTCGGCCGCCACCCCAAACCTCAGCACAGACCAGCGTCCCCCGCGTCCCCGAACCAGTGCCGATGTCCACGCAAGGCCGAGAGCCGGGTGCACCTTCCACCTCACTTTCCTCACACCATTCAGATGCTTTACTTAGTCAACACACAGTTCGCCTACGGACGGAACATGCAAGGACAGCCTTTCATATGATTATAAAAATTAAAACTCCTGGTCATCTTCATGATTCTTTAAAACGACCCCATTCAAAATTAAAATGTTTTTTAGGCTGTGGTTTCTTCGGGAAAAGGTTCCATGTGTAGAGAAAGATGATGGATGTCCCTGATCATTCAACCCTCCCCATTTTCCTCCGGCCGGTGGGGTCACCATGAGGGTGCAGCCAATGACTTTTAGATCCACAAATTTTTTAAGATCGTGAGAAAAAGGAGCATGTCCGTTCCGAGTGAGCAACGCTTCCTCAGCCGACCGCGTCTCCTCCAAATGAACAGGACGCTCTGGGCGACAAAGCGCCCCTGCCCATCGCTCCGAGACAGGTGTCACTCGTGAGCGAGCCTCGGGCTCCGGGACAACGGGCACCCAGCCCCGAGCCGGCCCACAGGCTTCCCGCCCCCCAGGTGAATGACCCTCCGGGCGCCGTCACCAATGAAGACGCCAACGCCGGGACTGATTAAATTTGGGAAAAGGAGGAGTTTTTATACTTTTGTATAAAAGCCCTTTATGCATTTTTAAAGTCAGCAAATGCCTTGAATGTATTTGAATGATTGTAAGAAAAATACACGAAAGAAACAAAACCACAGTTACGTCGGCGAAAGGGAGGTGTCTGCTGTCCGAAGACGGGGCTGTCACGCCGTCCGGCTGTCCATCCCACGGTCACTGGGCGGCATGGCGTCCCGAGGGCGACAGCCACTCGGCCCGGCCTCCGTTCTGAGAGGACGGTCACCACGCACACGAGGCCAGTCAGGGAAAGACGTCCCCGCACGGCGCCTACGAGACTCGCCATGTCCTCACCCACCGTCCAGGACGCGCCCCTCGCCCCTCTTCACGCAGGGGCACAGCACTCGCTTAAAAGCTCCTCAGCAGACGCGTTCGCCTCCTGAAACTCCATTTCCACGGCCAGTCCTCATTTCTTTAAACATGTTCCAAAATCACAACCTTGTGCCTGGGCTGAGCTGTGTCGACGCTCACGGGCACAGCGCCCCCACTTCCCTCCCCTCCAACGGCGCAGCCCGGGTGCGGGCAGGCGGCCTAGGCCGGGAAGCTTGGGGTGCATGTCCTCGGTCCGGGAAAAGTGGGGGGACACCACATACTTTTTAAGGGTATAATGTTGTCAGGAAATCTGAAGCATTCATGGATAAAATGCACACGGAATATAAATAAGAAAGTAACTTGAAAAATATAAAAAAATTTCTGAAGGGGACCAATCAGAACTTCAATAAAATCTATGAGTCGAAACACAGGCTTACACGACCGTGTAGTTAGGGTGGAGCACTTAGATTATAAAGAAGCTGAGAGATTATTTAAAGGCTGTTTCTCAAATGTACAAACAACGAGAAAAACACAAAAAAGGCCTCGGTAATGTGCACCCTTCAAAATTTCTGTCACGCCAGCCAAACCAATCCGTCACCGCTTTTTAAATGGACTCACTTATCCCGCTTCACGCAGGGCGGGGGCAAGTGGGAAAACAAAACAGAGTAAAGCAAAAACCTCTTCAGTGTCTGACTCACATTTTGTCCCCAAATGTTTTCACATTTAAGAGTTGCATTTTGAATGTGTAACCTAAGAATTTCAAATGTTTCTCAAATGGCTTATGTCGACGTTTCTCTTAAGAATTATGTTTTAAAGCTACAATGCTAAGAACTAAACACATACTTCAAACTTTTAAAAATAAAACGACCCCAAGAGTTCACAATTGTGTCCATCCCCAAGGTCCACAGCTGACTCGGGTGCCGCTCGGCCGAGTCTCTCGCGGGTCCCGGGGCCCCTGCCGTGTTTGCCACCGAGAGGCGATCGGGACACAATTTATCAGCAGAAACCTCTAGACAAGTCTAAAATCTTTAGCCGTTAAAAACCATCGTGTCCCATTTACTCCCCTAACATGCAATCGGATTAATCCAAAGTCATCTGGGTTTTGCAAGAAGGCGACTAAAACTGGTACAAAATGAAGCTTATATGAAGACTGGTTAAGGGTTCAGAGCAGGTGAGCCGAGGGGCGCCTCGCAGGCCCGGACAGGCTCGAGGTGCGGCCGCAGGGAGACACCGGGCGCGGTCGTGCCCGCGGGCTCAGCTGCTGGCGGTGCCCGCGTGCATCCTCTTGGCCACGTCGTACACGTAGGTGACGTCCGGCCGCTTCTCGGGGTCCGGGTTGATGCACATGTTCACCAGCTGCCGTAGCTGCGGAGACAGAAACAGGACGCGCTGCGGGACCGCTCGCCGACCCACAGACGGGCTCGGGGGAAGCACGTTTTCTGGCCACTCATCTGATCAGAAACACACGGGCGGGCCCCAGGGCTGCGCAGCCAGGTGGCCGCCCGCAGGGCGCGGTCACAGTGTCGAGGGCGGGAAGGGGCACTTTCCGCACCAGCCCCTGCCCTTTGCAGCCGGGCTGCGGGGCCTGCAGAGTGTCGAGCTCAGTGACTAGACAGGAAAGTCGGGAGCCGGGACTTCACTCCCACGGGACAGAAAATGGAAATCAACAAACAAACAGAAACCCACAGACAGGTGACAGTGGGGCGGTGACCGGCGGTGACCGGGGGCCGTGGGGGTGAGGGGGGCACCTGCCCGGGTGGGGGCACAGGGCCCACGGGTGAGCTCAGAGCCAGCGCCCGAGGCCTGTGCGGTCCTGCTCCCTCCGTCCCTGTGGGTGCTGCCTGGTGGAGCCGGGAGCCACCAAGCCTGTGGCCGGTTTAGCATAAAACTGGCCTCTAACCAACTGGTCTTCTCATTAAAGTTCAGTTTGAAAACTTTATATTTCACTTTTCGCTGCTTCCTACATTTTGCCACAGCAACAACTAAACTCCCCCTGGACCCTGAACCCATCGCAAGGCCCCTGCGGGAGGGATGCTCGGGCCCTGGGGCGTCAGGCTGTGGGGGCCTCCTGCCACCGCCCCGAGCACTTCACAGCCTCAGAGCCCCGCACCCCCAGGCCCGCAGCACCGGCCTGTCCTCGCGGCTCCTCCCCGCTGGGACCACACCCCACTTCGCCCGGATCCTACAGCTCCCGGGGCCGCCGCCTTGGGGTGCAGGCCGCGCAGGCCCGGCTGCCCTCAGACCCGGGCC